TGCTTTTTGGAATTGTAGTGTCTATACTTTGACTATGTACACCAAGACTGAAAATAAAAGAAAGGCAGTAGTCTTTAAAATCCAAGCACACAAAAACAATAAACAGGGACATGACTGTTCCTGAAGTGAAGCTTTTTCTAAGTACACTCACTAAGATCTGATATTTGATCCTGTTAAATATTCTTACTAGATTTCGACCACAGGTGTTGTTTACTGTACCACAACTCAATATCAAAATCTGGATTTCCAAACCAGATAAATTTGTATTTTAAATAGAAATATTTACACTATAGAATTGAGCTGTCCAATATTAGCCACATGTGACTATTGAAATGTAAACTCAAATGAAAAATGAATAAAATTAAAAAGTCTGTTTCTCAGACACGCTGGCCACATTTCAAATGCTCAATAGTCGCATGTGACTAGTGGCTACTGCATTGGACAGTGTGGATACGAGAAATTTCTTCACTGCAGAAATTCTATTGTATTTCACTGTTATAGAAAAGTTCCCAGCTGTATAAAAAGGTATAAGTTTTATCTCTTTTCAGTAGTTCACTCCTTAAGTATTGAAATACATCAGGATATATCACTTGGTAGAAATTAGGGGTTAAGATTTCAGAGTCAACTCTCATTTTGAGAGTTTGATAGCATATGATCTCCTAATGCACTGTTGGCCTTTTTCTATTGGTTAGCATGTGATACCAGCCCTTTATTCTTTTTTTTTTTTTTTTGAGACAGAGTCTCACTCTGTTCCCCGGGCTAGAGTGCTATGGCGTCAGCCTAGCTCACAGCAACCTCAAACTCCTGGGCTCAGGCAATCCTCCTGCCTCAGCCTCCAGGGTAGCTGGGACTACAGGCATGCGCCACCATGCTCAGCTAATTTTTTTCTATATATATTTTAGTTAGCCAATTAATTTCTTTCTATTTTTAGTAGAGAAGGGGTCTCACTCTTACTCAGGCTGGTTTTGAACTCCTGACCTTGAGGATCCTCCTGCCTCGGCCTTCCAAAGTGCTAGGATTACAGACATGAGCCACCACGCCCGGACCCTTTCTATTCTTGATACATTTAAAAATAATGGATCTACCTGGCTATCAGTCATCCTGTGTATCTTCTTACACAGGTAGAGAGAAATATTTAGCAAGCGTACGCTTACTACTCAAAACGAAATAGCCATGTAGGCCTACAGCTGGAACAAAATTTGAGCCTACTACTACCACTGAAAACAGAATTCAGGATCCTGGCCCTGTGAGAATTTGTCAGGTGATATTTCCTGAATAGAATCACAGAGGCTACAAGAAAAATAACAAGGGATTGAACTAGTACACTATACAAATGAAGGCAATGGCTGTAATTACCACTGTTACTAATGTATTTTTGGCATTCCATAGAATCTTCTTCTGAGGAAGAAAGTCCTGTGACCAGGAGGCGATCTCAGTCATCACCACCTTATTCTACTATTGATCAGAAGTTGCTGATTGACATCCATGTAGGTTTCCATCTTAACATGTTTATGGCCATTCTTTTCACTTTTCCATTTTTTTTGACTTGCACATTCTCATCTTCACTAAAGGAAGGAAAAGTTAAAGAGTTTAGGGTTTTTAAAATTAATCTTTTAAAGGTAGATTCCCCTTGTTATGTGAGCATACAGAATACAAAATCTAGAAATTAAAATTGAAAACTGTTAACCAATCAGACAATATTTGATTTTCACTTATTTTTATGTCAATCAGAACATATTTCAGAAAGGAGTGGTAAAGAGCTATTTGTAAAAGCTAATCTCAGATTAAGAGGTTAGATGTTCAATTTTTGTTTAATAGCATTCCTTGGGCTATTAGGAAATGTATAAAAATAAGACATTTAGTAAAAAGTAAATGTGTAGTGATTGCATAATTAAAAGTTTTCCATGTCTTTTTGCAGTGTGCTTTCAGATCATTCTATTTTCTTTTGTAATTACCCTTACGCTACCATACACACAACCCTTCTAGGTTGCCCAAGAGTTACATAACACGTATGGTACTTAAAAGGTTTAAAGGGTAGATTTATATTAATTTGCTTTTTAGAAGCATTTAAAATGCTTTAAGACAACTGCAACATGTAAATTCAGAGCTAGGAAATTAACATACCAATTTCAAGAGCTATGTGTCAATCCCAATGTCAGGGGATAAAACAAAAGGAAAAAGTTGACTGTATTTGTAGAGCATCAAATCACCTGTTCTACTTTCCAGCATCAAAGGCAAATGTCTACTCCTCAGCAGACAAGTAGGGGTAACAAAAAATAAAGTGAGTCAATTTTTCCCCGTGTGATCCAGAAAGGCCACTAATAATCATAGCCTGACGTTTGAGTTTTAGCATCTCATCCTCACTAAAATATTTGCTCTATCTAGTGAGTGAACATTTTTGTTTCAATGGAAAATATATTTTAAAATGTTGTCAGCTTGGAAACTTTCCAATCTTGTAGAAAATGAAAGGCTACTGGAGACTACATTAACCTTTCTTGTGCACACAGGTTCCAAATGGATGTAAAGTAGGAAAAATATCACCTCCCGTATACTTGACAAATGAATGGGTAGGCTATAATGCACTCTCTGAAATCTTCCGGAGTGATTGGTTAACTCCCGCATCTGTCATTCAGTCGCCTGAAGAGGATGGTGATTATGTTGAACTCTATGATGCCGGTGCTGATACTGATAATGATGATGATACTCGTGATGCTTATGAAGATACCTATGACCTAGCCAATGGCAGTGATGACGTGGATAACCAGGTTTATCAGGCTAATGATGTCTGTAAAGCCTACGATGATGATGACAACAATGATGATTCTGTTGATGACACAGACAATAATCGTGGTGATGTGCCTAGTTGGCCAAGGTTGGTTTTTATGGATTACTTATACTATCTATGTTTTATAACTTGAGAATTATTTGCATCTTTGGTTTGTTTTCAAAATTTACTACCAAGAGGGTGAATAAATTTCACTTGCTTATTGCTGAATGGTTTGATTTTCAATAATAGATTTTAAATTGTTCAAATGTAGAGCATCTAATTTTGCATTATTTGTATACTTTTAAAATTAGCATTCAAATATTAATATTTATTAGTTTTTTTAATAACTGGAATTGTGTAGATGTTTCTGTTAAAATTAGTGTCACTGAATCATCTTACCCTATAAAACCACAGTGATTGTGAGAAGTGGGGCAACAAAGGAAGTGTACTACTTAATAACTGTAAGATGAAGCTCTGGTATTTGCAAATATAGCTATGCTTTTCTCCAACAATTAAGATATCACCATGTATATAATAAATGTAAGATAATATTTATCTGGTTAATTGATGGAGAAGTTAGCAAGAGCTCTTTTGGTTTTTTTCCAACTGAAAAATCTACCAAGAATTCTGCTGTCAAATAAATTTACTTTTAGAATTGCCACAGGCACATTTGTTTAATGTCTCTTATGCAAAAAGAGGGCATTGAGACATTTTATTAAGCTTGATAATTTTAGCAACTAATTAAATGACTATTATAGTTTTATAAGATATGAGGTCTATATTACTGAACTTGTTGGTGAACTATTAGACCAATGGGATTCTATAGCAAAGCAGTCAATACACATGTTAGGAAATCAGGGCAGCTGTTAAAATTAACACAAACTAAATATATTGCAGGAAGATTATTGAAATGTATTGTGGTTGAGCTTAAAATGTAATCTTGATCATTCATGTCTCTATGAAGTTGCTAATGCATGAAATAGTCTTATTATTTAAGGAAAAAAATGCATATTCTTGCTACTAACCTAACATGTATACCTAAGAAAGAATGCAAGTTCTCTTCCCTTTGCCAATCAAATGCAGCCAGAAAATTGACATCAGCTATGGTATTAATTCAGTATTTAAGATTGACAGGCCATTGGGGCATTTTTATTTTCTATATCATACCAATAGCGTTCACATGTAGCCACATAGCAAAGACATGTCTGGACATGGTAGATATATATGTAAAGCACATCCTAATTTGGTTACATTTACTTACTAACTTTCAAATGTGTTTTTATTGGGTGGCTTTCTTTCATTAATTGGAGCTTTTTATCAGGGCAAGCTATGGCCGAGATGGACACTGGAAGCAAGGTGTCTATAAAAGCCATAAAGCCAATAGAAGCCATGGAGAAAGTGCAGCCACTGGGGGCAGTGCAGCCATTGGAGACCAAGAAGGACATGAAGCTGGTATAGGCATTGGAAGAAGCAGCAGCAATGGTAATGGAGGTAAGGGAGTCAGTGGAACCAATGAAGAGAGTGGAGCACTTGAACTGAATAGAAGAGAAAATTACTCAGAGACAGACCGTCCAAGATTGGAGAGACTTGCATCCTGGGACTTTGAACATCAACAGGAGGTAATGCACAAAGGAGTATAAACTCCTCTTTTGTGAATGTCTTTCTTCATGTGACATGTAGCATTTCCAGCCATTCCAAATATATTTTAACCTTATACCCCAAAGCTGCAAATATTTTAAATTATAGATGTATAGGTAGATCTTTACCACTTCTAATTTGGGTGGTTCCCATTTATTTCTAGGAACAAAAGTCTCTTATTTGTTTGCCTTTATTACTCAGATCACATTTGAGGTAGAGTCTCTTAACATGTACAATTTAAAAAATATTTTTAAAAAATTTTATTGGCACATAATTACATATTTATGGGTTACAGAGGGATATTTCAGAACATACAATGTATAGTGATTAAATCAGGGTATCTATTATAGCATACCCATTACCTCAAATATTTATCATTTCTTTGTGATGGGAACATTCAAAATCCTCTCTTCTAGCTATTTGAAAATATATAATAAATTATTGTTAACTATAGTTCCTCCTATTTAGCTGTAATTTTGTATCCTTTTAACAAACTCTCCCTATCCTCTCTCTCCTACCCTTCTGGAGCTCTAATTACCACTACTCTACGCTCTAATTATATGAGATCAACTTTTTTCGCTTCTGCATGTAAGTGAGAACATGTATTTATCTTTCAGTCCCTGGCTTATTTTACTCAAATATAATGTTCTCTAGGTCATCCATGTTGCTGCAGAGGACAAGATTTCATTATTTTTATGGCTGAATAGTATTCCATCATGTATAAAAGCCACATTTTCTTTATCCATTTGTCTGTTGATGGACACAAGCTGATTCCTTACCTTGGATATTGTGAATAGTGCTGCAATAAACGTGGGATGCTGATATCTCTTCAACTTACTGATTTCCTTTGCTTTGTATGTATATACCCAGTAGTAGAACTGCTGGATCATATGGTAGTTCTATTTGTAGCTTTTGGAGGAACCACAATACTGTTCTCCATTCCTACCAACTAGTTTACACTCCTACCAACAAAATGTAAGAGTTGCCTTTTTTCCACATCCTCACCAACATTTGTTATATTTTTGACTTGATGATGTCCATTCTACCTGGAGTGAGATGATATCTCATTATGGGTTTTATTTGTTTTTCCCTAATGATTAGTGATGTGTTGAACATTTTTTCATATATTTGTTGCCCATTTGTATGTCTTCCTTTAAAAAATGTCTATTCAGATCATTTGCCCATTTTTAAATCAGATTGTTTCCTTTTTTTTTTCTGTTGAGTTGTTTTTGAGTTCCTTGTATATTCTGGATTGTAATCCCTTGTTGGAAGAATAGCTTACAAAAAATTTCTTTCATTCCACAGGTTGTCTCTTCACTCTGTTAATTATTTCCTTTCTTGTGCATACATTTTGTAGTTTGATATAATCCCATTTGTTTATTTTTGCTTTAGTTGCCTGTGCTTTTGAAATTCTATTCATAAAATCTTTTCGCAGACATGGACCGATGTCCTGAAGTATTTCCGTATGTTTTCCTATAGTGGTTTTATAAATTGAGGTCTTACATTTAAGTCTTTAATCCATTTTGAGTTGATTTTTATATAAGGTGAGAGATAGGGTTTGAGTGTCATTCTTCTGCATATGGATATCCAGTTTTCCTGGCATCCTTTATTGAAGAGAATGTTTTTTCCCCAATGAATATTTATGGTGCCTTGTCAAAAATCAACTAGCTATAAATATGTGAATTTATTTCTAGGTTCTTTATTCTATTCTATTGGTCTGTGTGTCTGTTTTTTGTGCCACTGTCATGCTGTATTGGTTACTATATTCTGTAGTATATTTGGTAGTGTATACCAGTAAATCTGGTAGTGTGATGCCTCCTGCTTTGTTCTTTTGGCTTAGGATTGCTTTGGCTATTTGGGGTATTTTGTGGTTCCATATGAATTTTAGGATAGTGTTTTCTATTTCTGTGAAGGAGTTCATTGTATTTCATAGGGATTTCATTGAATTTGTAGATCACTTGGGGTAATATGGTCATTTTAACAATATTAATTCTTCTAGTCCATGAACACAAGATGCCTTTCCTTTTTTGTGCCCTTTTTGTTTTCCTTCATCAGTGTTTTGTAGTTTTCCTTGTGAGATCATTCACCTCCTTAGTTAAATTTATTTCTAGGTATTTTGGGTTTTTTGGTAGCTATTGCATATGCAATTGCTTTCATGATTCTTTTTTTATCTAGTTGTTGGTGTATAGAAATGCTACTGATCTTTGTATGTTGATCTATATCCTTACTGAATTTGTTTGTCAGTTCTAAAAGTTTTTGGTGGAGTTTTTATATTTTTGTATATATAAGATTATGTCATTATCAAAGACAATTTGACTTCCTCATTTCCAAGTTGGATATTCTTTTCGTTTTTCTCTTGCCTGGTTGCTCTGCCTAGGATTGCCAGTACTATGTTGGATAAGAGTGGTGAGAGTGGACATCCTTGTTTTGTTCAAGTTCTTAGAGAAAAGACTTTCAGTTTTTCCCCATTCGATGTGATAGTTGCTGTGAGTTTGAAATATGTGGCCTGTATTGTGTTGAGATGCATTCTTTCTATACCTAATTTGTTAGGAGTTATTATCACAAAGGAATGTTGAATTTTATCAAATGTTTTTTTCTGCATCTCTTGAAATGATCATGTGGTTTTTGTCCTTCATTCTGTTGATGTGATGCATCATGTTTATTGATTTTCATATTTTGAACTACTCTTGCATTCTTGGAATAAATATCACTCAATCATGGTGTATAATATTTTTGATATGCTATTATAATTTGTTTGCTAGGATTTTGTTGAGGATTTTTGCATCTATGTTCATTAGAGATAATGGCCTGTAGTTTTCTTTTTGTTGTGTCCTTATGCAGTTTTGGTATCATGCTACCCTTGTAGAATGAGTTCAGAAGAATTCCCTTCCCTTCACATTTTTCAAAATAGTTTGAGGAGAATTGGTATTACTTCTTCTTTACACATTTTGGAGAATTTGGCAATGAAGCCATTCAGTTTTGGGCTTTTCTTTGTTGCAAGACTCTTTACTCATTACTCATTATTCAGTCTCATTACTCATTATTGGTCTATTTAGGTTTTGTATTTCTTCCTGGTTCAATCTTGAGAGGTTTCATATATCTAGGAATTTATCCATTTCCTTTGGGTTTTCCAATTTGTTGGTGTATCGTTGTTCATAATAGTCTCTAATGACTCTTTGTATTTTTGTGATATCAGCTGTGATGCCTCCTTTTTTGTTTCTGATGTCTTTATTTATTTGGGTCATCTCTTTTTTCTCTAGTTATTCTAGCTAATGGTTTGTCAACTTATCTTTTAATAAAACCAACTTTTCCTTTCGTTGATGTTTTGAATTGACTTTTTAGTCTTAATTTCATTTATTCGTGCTCTGATCTTTATTATTTCCTTCTACTAATTTTGAGTTCAGTTTTTTTTCTTGCTTTTCTATTTCCTTGAGATGCATCATTGTTTATTTGAAATCTTTCTATGTTTTTGATGTAGTCATCTAATGTCACAAACTTTTCTCTTGATACTGCTTTTGCTGTATCCCATAAATTTTGGTATGTTGTGTTTCTGTATTCATTTGTTTCAATTAATTTTTTAATTCCCTTTTTAATTTCTTCATTGACCCATTAATTGTTGAGTAGCATGTTGTTTAATTTTCATGTATTTATACAGCTTTGAATGTCCCTCTGGTTATTGATTTCTAGTTTTATTCCATTTTGTTAAAAGAAAGATAACTTGATATGATTTAAATTTTTAAAATGTTTTGAGACTTATTTTGTGGCCTGACATACGGTCACTTCTGGAGAATGTTCCATGTGCTGATGAAAAGAATGTATATTCTGTAGCTATTAGATGAAATGTTCTTTAAACGTCTGTTAGGTCCATTTGATCTATGATCCAATTCAGTGTTTCTTTGTTGATTTTCTGTTTAGATGATCTGCTCAGTGCAGACAGTTGGGAGTTGAAGACCACAAATATTATTGTGTTGGAGTCTATCTTCTCTTTAGATCTAATAATATTCACTTTATATATCTGGTACTCTGGTGTTGGGTGTAAATACATTCATAATTATTATATCCTCTTGCTGAATTGATCACTTTATCAGAATATAATCTCCTTCTTTGTCTCTTTTTTACATTTTTTACTTAACAGGGGTTTTATCTGATATAAGTAGAGCTACTCCTGATTGCTTTTGGTTTCTATTTGCATGGAATGTCTTTTTCCATCCTTACATTTTAAATCTGTGTGTCTTTACAAGTGAAGTGAATTTCTTGTAGGCAGCATATAGTTAACTCTTGTTTTTTTTTTTATCTGTTCATCCAATCTGTTATGTTTTAACCACAGACTTTAATCTATTTACATTCAAGGTTATTATTTATAGGTGAGGACTTTCTATTGTCATTTGATTAACAATATTCTGGTTGTTTTGTATATCCTTTCTTCCTCTTTTATTGTTTAACTTTATGGTTAAGGTGGTTTTCTGTAGTGATAAGGTCTGATTTCTTTTTATCCTTTCTGCATCTACTCTACTGGTTTGTTTTATAATTTCACATGTTTTCATGATGATATTTATTGTTTTTTTGCTTTCAGATGTAGGACTCTCCTAAGCATTTCTTGAAAGGCTTCTCTAGTGGTAATGAAGTCCTTAATATTTGCTTGTATGGGAATGACTTTTTTTTTCTCCTTCATTTCTGAAGGATGGCTTTGCTGAGTATAGTGTTTGGCTTGCAGTTTGGCTTGCAGACTTTTTTTCACCACTTTAAATATGTCTTTTCATTCTCTCCTTGCCTATAAGGTTTCTGTTGAGAAATCTGCTGTTAATCTAATGGAAATTCCCTTATATGTGACTTGATGCTATTCTCTTGTTTTTAGAATTTTCTCTTTGTCTTTGATTTTTGACAGTTTTATTATAATGTGCCTTGGAAAAGACTTTTTTAGGGTGAATATATTTGCCACTCAAAGCAAGAATCATACCCGTAGGCCAATAAGCCAACACATAGGTTCAATATATTTGGTAATCTTTGAGCTTTCTGGATCTTTATGTTAATATCTCTCCCAAGACTTGGGAAGTTTCTGGCAATTATTTCATTTTGAAAGTTTTCTGTTCCTTTTTTTTATTTCTTCTTCTAGAACTCCCATCATGTCAAAATTTATTCTGTTAATGGTTTCCCACTAATCATGTAGGATTCTTCATTGTTTTTTTATTTTTTTAATATATATATTTTTGGCCTGCCTGCATTGATTCAAAACTCTTGCCTTCAAGTTCAGAAATCCTTACTTCTGTTTGGTCTTGTCAGTTGATGAAGCTCTCAGTGGTATCTGTTATTTCGTCCATTGAATTTTTCAGCTCTAAAATTATTGTTTTGCTATTTTTTATGATATCTATCCCTTTGTTGGATTTCTCATTCAGATCATGAATTGTTTCCTCATTTAATTGAATTGACTATCTGTGTTCTCTTATATCTCAGTGAGTTTCTTTAAGATCATTATTTTGAATTTTTCTGGCATTTTATGTGCTTCCTTTTTTGGGATGTTGTTACTGGAGAGATATCACAGTATCTTCTGGCCCTCAGAGGACGTTGCATCCCAGCAGTGGCTCTAGTTTCAATATGGCACCAGGCTGCAGCAGTTCGGGATATTGTGGGGAGTGAAGTGCACAATTTTTGCTCCTAATATGGAGCAATGCAGCCATGTGAATTTCAGGAACTTGCCCATAGTGGGTTCAGGGCTTGAGGAATGTGGGATTCTCCTGTAGTAAGGACTTCAAGTGTCTGTTATGGCAATGATGGAGGACTTCTGCCTTTTCCCCACAAGGAGAAGTCCCTCTTGGCTCCGAGCTGATCCTGGCAGGGGAGATGGAACAACAAAATCAGGGCTCTTTGCTTCCCTCCCTATACTGCATCCTAGACTTCCATGCTATACAGAGATCTTGCCACTTTCTCACTGCACTCCATTGCTCTCCCTCAGACACTTCTGTCAAATTTTAGTTGCTTATTCATTATTTTGGTCCAGTTTTGTAAAAGGGACAAGCACCAGTCACTTCTAATCAGCCATCTTGCTGAAGTCACTCCAAGAAGAGCCAATTTTTTGTTTCTGGGAAGTTATTGTTTTATTGTGATAAAATACACATAGCATAAAATTTACCATTTCAACCATTTTAAGTGTATAAATCAGTTGCATTTAGTACATTCACAGTGTTCTGCAACCATCACTACTATCCATGTCCAGAACTTTTTATCATCCCAAACAATTAAAAAATCAACTCCCAGTTTCCCCTCTGCCATCCCCTGGTAACCTCTATTCTCCTTTATGTTTAGATACCTTGTACAAGTGTAATAACACAATATTTGTCTTTTTATGTCTCTCTTATTTCATGTAACATATTTTCAAAGTTTATCTGTGTTGCAGCATGTATCAGAATTTCATTCCTTTTTAAGGCTGAATAATATTCCATCTTATGTATACCATATTTTGTTTATCCATTCATCTGTTGATGGGAACTTGAGTTTTGTCCACCTTTTGGTTATTGAAAATAATTCTGCTGTAAACGAAAATAATTCTGCTGTAAACATTGGTGTACAAGTATCTGTTTCAGTCCCCGTCTTCAGTTCTTTTGTGTATATACCTATAAGTGGCTTTGCTGTGTCAGGTAGTAAGTATGCTTAACTTTTCAGAAACTGTTCACATGTACAATTTTAATTGAAGTAATATACTCTGTTTAGACAATGATTTTGTCATTTGCAAAATGTTTATTGACTTTATAAATAGGTTTAAAATACTCAAGTAGCTCACAGATGCTAAATCAATAGGAATTGTCACAGAGAAGATTTCCTGGAACATGTGGTATTTGAACTAATTCTTGACAAATGGGGAGTACCTGAATATCTGAAAACACGGTGGAACTCCAGACAGAGGAAAGATCATGCCAATCTACTTTTCCAGCCTATTGTCCTTTCACACAAACTGGCTTTGAAGATGCCATGCTCTTTCATTAGTGTTCCTTGTACAAGCTGTTCCCTTTGTCTGGAAGGTCGCCCCTTCACCTTATCTCTACTTAGTGAATTAGTAATCCTTCATGATCCAACTCAAATATCATATTTGACTTTCCAAGGCAGAATTATATAGCCCTTCTACTGTGCTTGCTAAAAATTTTGCCCATAGTTCCATTTTATGACATTGTAGTTTAGTTATTTGTGTATTTGTTTGTCTGCTATACTAGATTATGAACTCTTAAAAGGAATAAACTCTATCTAATCCACCCCTAATTATTTTTCTTCCAACTCACTCAACCTCAGGGTCTAACCTAGGACATGGCCTATGATAGGCATACACTAATTATGAAAGAAATCAATAAAGGAAGAAAAAAGGTAGAAGGATATTCCCTAAATGATTTCCAATGGGAAAGCAGTATTAGCGGGAAAATATCTCTATTTATCTATCTATCTGTCTTAATTTTCATAGCAACCCTGGGTATCTCCAGTTATCTTAAGAAACATTTTAGAAATATGCAGAGTGAATGGATCTTCCTTTTATTTTAATTTAAAAAGGACATGCTGCCATACCAGGCTCTTGTGGTTGGAAAGGGCATACAAACCAGTCTGTGATGGGGCTGCACAACTCTCTTGGTGCCAAGAATCACTGTTTAGACACAAAGATCTTATCAACATACAGGCTTATAAAAAATAGTTGGTATGTTTTCCCACAGGATATGGCATTACACATAAATTGTCACCTTTTGTGGCTTTTATCTTTGAGTATCTTTACTGTAAGTTAATAGAAGCAGAGTAGGTTTTCAGTGAGGCATGTTCACACTCTTGAATTTGTGTTGGTTGATTTTCCATCATTTGCTCTGTCATTTGAAACTTTTCCTGAAGGGTTTTCATGCTCCCAGTTTTGTGAAGGTACCTTAAAGCAGTGAAACAGATACCCCCACACTGTGCTTTTTAGTTCTTCAAGAGGCTGTTTGGCATAGAATGGATAGCTGAATGTATGCTTTGGAATCAAACAGGCTTTAGCTTCAAACTCAGGTTCCCCTACTTACCAGCACTATTACCTTGAATAAATTATTTAACTTTTCTAAATTTTAGTTTCTTTATAAGTAAATTATAGATAATTATACTTATTTTGGGGTTATGATAAGGATTCATGAAGATATGTAAATAAGATACCTAGCATAGTACTTGGTACACGGTAAAAATTCCACAAATGTTAGGCCCCATATTGTACAGTTAGGGACTTCGGGTTCCTTGCATTTTTCCTCTGATACCAGTGGTCTCAGTAATAGGTTAGTTCTGTCTCTTCTGATGAAATTGTTGAGTTTTTCTAGTAAATTGTGGATTTCATAAGAATGTAGAAATTACAAATCCTGCATTTTCTTTCTCAAATGACCCCTAGGAATATTTCTCCCAATGCCGACCTCCTAATAAAATAAAAATTGTTTTTCAATCTTCTTTTAGGAGCCAGGTGACAGAAGTGAGGCTTCAAATGCAGCACCTGCTGATGGAAATGCTAATGAGGACATATTGGAATTATCAATACAATCAGATTTTTCTGCCTTCAATTCATCTCCTTCCAAAGATTCTGGAAGGGTTACTGATACTGACTTTGCCAGTGCCACCTGTGAGTGTGCTTAATACAATCTCTAAGTGCTGCTAGCTGTTCACATATTAAATAGTATTTAACCACTGGTTCATGATCAGATAGGAATCAAATCATTCTGATATTTAGTTGACAAAATTCAGATTGATATATGCTTTTTAAAAAGTCTACTCTTCGCTAAATATTTATGGGACCTAAATTTGAGCTACAATTGAGAAATTGAGTGCCTAATCTGGATGTTTGTGTGTTCTAGTCACAGTAACTTAAAATATATTCGTATTCAGCAATGTATTTTAACCATCAGAATTTGTGTTATGGGATGGTTTAGAAATTACTGAAATAATAAATGAAAGTTAAATACAATGAAGGAACAGGAGTATGTCTAATCTGTGTCTCAATTGTAGAAACACTTAAGCACATACGGTGTACAGACTAGAAATTTCAGTTTTTTCACCTTATTTCTTTGCAGTATGTTCTGGATTCGAGGAAATGCCTGAGGAATCATCTAACCAACCTTCTGAAGTCAATGTTAACCCAGTTTATGTATCCACAGAGTACAAAAAACCACTAATCCACATGTATGAGAAGGAATTTACTTCTGAGATCTGCTGTGGTTCATTATGGGGTGAGTTTGATTTCCTAAAACTAAGTTGTTTAAAAGAATATATTTTCATCTATGTAGGTTTCATAGGTTTCTATGAAAATCATAGAAATAAAACATTTGTTCACTATTACCAAATCATTAATTCAAATAAAAATATATTTACATTAATTTGCTCAGAATTGGTTTTGCTGATTTTTTTCACTCAGTGCAGTTTGATGTTTGAATTGGTGTTCCCACCTTTTTACTCCATGTTTTTTTAACCTGAATTAACTTGGCCAACATATAAAACTGGACTAGGTTATGGTTATATGAAAATTTAAGCTTAGTATTTTTAATTTAGGGTAGTGTCTGGCATATGATACCTAATAAGGTATTACAAGAAAGATTTCTGCAGAATTGTGTTTTTAAAAGTCTTGAAAATTTGTAAAGTTCCCTCTATTAATATAATGTCTTAACTTTGATAGACTTTTTTCAGTCATTTGTTTCATAATAATTATAACCACATTGGTAATGCTGAGACAATATTTTACCCCAAGCCAGTCTGAATCATAAATGAAACAGAATGAATGAATGCAAAGATGCAGAAATCTAAAGTAAATGCCAACCTCTGACTTACAATTTCATAGATTTTGCTTAATGTTTGAGGAAACAAGGGACAGAGTTTTAGATTAAAAATAGAACAGGGTAGCAGAGATTCTAATTATATGGATTCTTTAGGAAAAAAATATCATCTCGAATTTTTGCTAATTTAATGTACCAGACAACAAGAAAGCATAAATATTTCAGTCGGGCAACTACCCAGAAATGTAGTTAATGTCTAATAACTGGTCTTTATAACTTATGATTTTATATTTTGAAAAATGAAAGATTTTAATTAAAAAATGACCGTAAGATGTACACCATGGAGTACTACTCAGCTATAAGAAACAATGGTGATATAGCACCTCTTGTATTTTCCTGGATAGAGCTGGAACCCATTCTAAGTGAAGTATCCCAAGAATGGAAAAACAAGCACCACATGTACTCACCAGCAGATTGGTTTCACTGATCAACACCTAAGTGGACATATAGGAATAACATTTATCGGGTGTTGGGCAGGTCAGGGGGAGGGGATGGGTATATACATACATAATGAGTGCAATGTACATCAGCTGGGGGATGGACACGCTTGAAGCTCTGAATCAAGAGGGGCGGGGGGCAAGGGCAATATACATAACCTTAACATTCGTACCCCAATAATATGCTGAAAAAATAAATTAATTAAAAAAAAATAAAAAAAAAATGACCGTACTTCACCCTCCCTCCGTGATTCCCTTGTGAGAAGAAGGTGCAGTTTCTAAACCTGCCATTGGCCATCAATTAGAGAACTTGTAAAGGATAGAGTGGGAAAATGAAAGCAAACAGAAACACTTGTCTTCTTTCCTTATACCCCCAGAGCACAAATAGCCTCCAAGTGAAATGAGGACTCTGAAGTTTTTCCCTCTGTTACATTACTTGGCTGATTATTTCCTATGTCAGTTTATGGGGAAAAGCTGCCACAGTAGTTTGAATTGTAATTTAACCTTAGTTTTATCTTCGGTTTCAGTTCTCTTATTTGGTCTTTGTGCTTATATTTGAACAAAACAGAGCCAGCCAACAAATAAAAGAGAGTGTATAAATTTAGATACATGTACGATAGGAACTGTAAAAATTTTAATGTATGTGTGAACATAGAATTATCCACTTTAAAAACAATTATTTACATGTTATCTCAAAAACATTAAAATCTTTAGTTATGGTTAGAAATGAGAAATTAACTGAATTGATTGATCTCTTTGTATGTGTTAGACTAAGGATATTTAATGGTAATTTTCAAAAAGGTTGATTCATTTTGATAAAGTTTGGGCCACTACTAAAGGGTATGTAAAAAGATTATATATAAGTCCTATTTGTGAGATGGCACACCAGAAACCAGCTAGTGGAATATTGCCAGAGGAAATTATCTTCTATATTTTTATGTATTAAAATGAAATTTATTGTGTTGGTAGAGTCCATGGTTAGCATTAGCATCAGTAAGTCACCTTTACATAGATCAGCACACCAGAATAGCAAAAATAGTAACATAAATGCAGTTACAAAAAATAATCTGAGCTAATATAGCACTTTTCTTTTTATGTATGAACAGGAGTCAACTTGCTGTTGGGAACACGATCTAATCTGTATCTGATGGACAGAAGCGGGAAAGCAAACATTACTAAACTTATAAAGCGAAGACCATTCCGCCAGATTCAAGTCGTAGAGCCACTCAATTTGCTGATTACCATCTCAGGTTTGTTTCAGAACTAAAATTAGCTGAGTAATTATGCAGATTAATTAGGCTGCTAACTGGGCTAAAGACTTTCTCAGGTGGAAGTGTTCGTAGGAGGACACCTTAAATATAACCTTTAATTGGGACACCAGCTTTTCCTACTTGTATTTTCTTATCTATTTACAATTTAAACTAACTTCCTTTGATTGTAACGAACTTGACCTAGGTCAGTGATCGGAAAAAACACACCACTTGCATTCTTGCAGGTTCTTTCCAGAATAGCCTCCTAAAACTTCATAGCTCTAATTCTCATTCATTCATACACGCAAGATCATACCAACATCCACCAAATACTTTTCTTGTGTTGTGTTACAAGGAACGAAGAACAAAGTGTACAATAATCAAATTAAAAAGAGACTTGTCCCTGGCAAGGCCTTATTGTAAGGGCCTACAGATAGAGTTAGTAACAAGAATGGCAGGGGCAAGATATGTAACCCTAACAATATTTGTACCCACAGAATTTGGGGGAAAAAGAAGAATGGATTACCTAAAGACCTCTACACTTTTCCCACACCGTAGTTGAATTTCTTAGTTTTGATCAGTCAAAGCCTGAACCTTTGAATACCAGAGATCAAATAAATGAGTGTTAAAAGTGATTGTGATTACTAAGCAGGGCTTAGTACCAAGAAAGCACTAGTATTAAAACTGACTATAGACAAAAGATGACTGACAAAAGGAGAGGAAAATAAAAACAATAATACAGTTTGGTGATCAAATAAAATGATGCTAATCACAGCCATTTATATGAGTTTATATATTTTTACAAAAATATAATATGTGTGTATAATTCATGTGCAGATTGCCATATTGCACATTCATGATGTATATTCCTAAAATGATTAACTTTGCATTAAGTTTTGGTTATAGGAGAAAACTCTTTATAGGTATATGCTCAGACTTCATGAATTTTTTTATTATGTTTTATGACAATTGGTTTATAATTGAGGCACACAGAAGTAATATTTATTTTTTGAAAACATTGGGGTGGCTTAGAGACTATATATCTGGTTAACAGACTTTTTACTTTTTATCCAGCTTTCTGTAACCCAAATGTGCCCTTCTTTAATATTTGAGCTTCTCTCAAATGTGGATTATTTTTATATCAAATAGTACTGAGAACCTCAATGTAGGAGGATGCTTAATAGTTTGAAGCACAAATTTACTTTACCATTTAAGAAGAAAATGGTCATAGACATAGATATCTGAACCCTAGTACTGCTTCAAAAATGTTATGTAAAAACATATCAGTCACCTAAATACGAATCCTATTGTTGGAAATCTTGAAATAATAAACCCTAAAAGTGACAGAGAAAAAAGAATATAAGGCCACTAGATAGGAAGAGAAATGTGTGATTTTAATGGCCCGTGTTCTATCTGAATTGTAAGAATTTGATGGGATTTGCAATTAGGAAATTAATGTGAAAGAAAATTGGGTTGAGGAAAAACATAACAAAACTATTCAACTATTTTATAAGCATGCCGCAAAGACAGAACCCAAAAAGACCCATTCTGCTGGCCCTGAATGCCTAAACAGTCCATACTCAGACATCCCTCTCAAACACATGCACTGCTGCGGCAGCTTCTAGGACTCTGCACCTCAGAGGAGTCATAACATAATGAAAAGCCAAGGTATAAATGAATGGATTTATAATTTTGTTGCCTGTGTGGTTGGCTGTCTTATCATGTCCCAAAGAATTATTTTAGATCCACTTAAGACAGGTACATAGATAGCTAGTAGAGACTTTGACTATCTCTTGGAAGTGAGAGACTAAGATAGACTTTGTTATCACATTTCCAAACTCTGAAGAGAAGATTCTGATGCAATGTAGTTTTTTAACACATTGACTGCCACACTAGAAAATAAAGTTTTTTCCTCGGGGCCACGGTGTTTTATTACAAAACTAGGACAAAAACTTCAAAAACAAAATGATTTTTTCTAATTGAACGAAAAATTTGTTATCTTTCATTGTTTTCTGTGCATGAGTTATATGCAACTTGAAAAATAGTTATCGTGGCTCCCAAGAAGTGAGTTACATATACTTTATGAGGTCCCCGGGCTTAAAACTAGTGTGACTCGTGGCAACTAATGTGTTAAAAATGCTTTTTACTTTAATGAAAATATTTGGTTAAAAAGGCAAAATACTTTTACTTTTTTGTTCTTCTACTATATGAAAAGAAAGACTGAATTGAAATACTATATTTTTTCTTATTTATCAGGCCATAAGAACAGACTTCGAGTATACCATCTGAGTTGGTTGAAGAACAAGATTTTGAATAATGATCCAGAAAGTAAGAAAAGGCAAGAGGAAATGTTGAAGACAGAAGAAGCTTGCAAAGCTATTGATAAGTTGACAGGCTGTGAACACTTCAGTGTCCGTAAGTCATATGTCATGTTAACTATAGCTATATAAATTTTGCTTCCTTTCATTTGGTGAAGTACATAATTATAAAAGTCAAAGCAGAGAAAGGAAAGAATTCGCGACATCAAATACAAAGATGAGTGAATTTCATTGTGACATCATCCAGGTCTTTTATACTATTAATACAATCTTGGTTGTTTTTGAGAAAATACTGATTGACTGAAATAGCTATTGAACTTAAGTTTGGTTTATTTCCTCACCTTTCTTCCCTTCCTAGTCACCCTGAATATTCCAAATAAACCGATATTTTTCCTGCCTCTATAAACCCCTAGGTTAACATTTATGGATATATTTCACCTCTGGGGCTATCAAATTTGCACATAGCTTCAACCACATAAATGGGCTTTATGTATCTTCACCAACCTGCAGAGATTCATAGGATATTCTCTTTCTTTGGAACAACAATAAAATAGAATCCTCTTAATACTGACCAGGAAACTTTATGATGAATCAAAAGGAAAATTCTTCTATAACCTGTTAACTCTTGCTCCCACTATTGATATTCATGAGTATAACCACTAAATATTTTCTGTCCAATTAGCATGTTTTTATATCCCTTATCTCTTCACAACCATCCACTGCGAAATGGTTTAACTACAGGGACTCGGAATCCTGCTGTAGCTATCAACAACTGTGAAGTAATGTCATCCCATTCTATTCTATTTCTGAAGCAAATCCCACTCTACCCTAGCCTTCTTTTGCTTGTTTCCTTCTCCATTTAATTGCCCCTTCAGACAGAACTGGTGGCATAGGTGGGAGATAGCTAGAATCATATTATATGAACTGCAACCAGATATTTATATCCTGACTGACCATTTTTGTTCTGCATATAAAGTGGCTTTCTGAGGATAGGTTTTCATATGGGTGTGCATATGTACACACACACCATTAAAGGGGAAAATGAGTACCCAGGTAACTTAAGCATTAAATAAATACACTACTTTCACTACTTCTTTCCAAATCATTTATGCAAATTTGGTATCTCCAGAGGTGAAAGATATCCTTAGATGTTAATCCAGGAGTTTATATAGGAAAACTATCTCCTACTAACTTGTACATTTTTAGTACAACACCTAAGTGGACATATAGGAATAACATTTATAGGACGGCAGGCAGATGGGAGGGAGGAGGAGGGGATGGGTATATACATACATAATGAGTACGATGTGCACCATCTGGAGGATGGACACGCTTGATGCTTTGACTCTGGGGGGGAGGGAAGGCAGGGGAAGGCAACACATGTAAACTAAACATTTGTACCCCCATAATATGCTTAAATAAAAAAAGACATAGTTATTAATATAAAGGTAGTCATCTTGAAAATCTATGCTCTTAGTAAGGGCATGGACTAGTTAAGTTCAGTTTTCCAATTTACCCCAGCTCTCAGAATAACCCAAAACCATTTGTCTCACTGACAGATGGTACAGTAACATCTTCACACAGGAGGACAGCAACAGATCATACTTGCCTCCTATTTTCATTGCCTTCCATGATCCACAAAACAATGAACTGGAACCAATTACTACACTATATTAAATATATAGGAAATGTTTGCCTAACAGAATTCCTTTGCTTGTTGGGGGTTTATTAATCATGCTCCTTTGACCTACTTGTGAACAATATAAAAGAAAATGAAAGAGTAAGCTAGACTCAGATAAAGGGAAATAGAGAGGGAGAGTAAGATAGATGGATAGAGAGAGGGTCTGGCTAGAGATTGCAGGAGCAATAACCCAACCAAGGAAGAGGAGTTTTAGTGCAAAGTATAAATCTGTCAAATTCCATAAGAACCAGAAGGACTAGCTGAGTATATACATTTTTATGCTTTTTATTTTATCTTTAAAAATAGCCCTGTTGAAATAATTTATATACCATAAGATGCACCCATTTAAGTACACAATTCAGTGGTTTTTAGTATGTTTATGGAGTTGTGCTACCATCACCATGATCTAATTTTAATCACACCCCCAAAGAAACTCCATATCCATTAGCAGTCACACCCCATCCCATCCGTCTTCCCTTAACCTCTTCGCCTCACAGTCCCAGGTAACCCTTGATCTACTTTCTTTCTCTATAGATTTATCTCTTCTAGACAATTAGTATAAATGGAACCATACATTATATGGTCTTTTGTGACAGACTTCTTTTACTTAGCATAGTGTTTTCAAGGTCCATTCATGTTGTAACATATATAACATGTATCACTACTTCCTTTTTATTGTTGAATAGCATTGCATTGTATGGATATACCACATTTTGTTTATCCATATATCATTTGGTGGACATTTGCACTCTTTCCACTCATGGGCTATTAAAAATATTGCTACTATGAACATTTTCACACATCTTCGTATGTGGGTATGTGTTTTCTTTTTGTCTTGGATAGTACTTCTAAGACTGTTTTCCAAGGTGGCTGCACCATTTCAAATTGCCGTCAGTAATGTATGAGAGCTCCATCTTCTCTGTACCCTTGTGAACACTTGTAGATGTCTATCTTTTGATTCTAGCCATCCTAGTGGGTGTAAAGTGGGATCTCATTGTATTTTTGATTTGCATTTCACTCATGATTAATGTTCATGTGTTTACTGGCCATTTGTATATTGTCCTTGAAGAAATGTCTATTCAAGCCCTTTTCCTATTTTTTAATTGGTCTGTTTATCCTTTTGCTGTTGAGTTGTAAGCATTCTTTAAATATTTTGTATGGTAGACCATTATCAGAATATAATTTGCAAATATTTTCTCCCATTCTGTAGGTTGCATTTTTACTTTCTTGATGGTTTCCTTTGATGCACAAAAGTTTTTAATTTTGATGAAACCTGATTTATCTTTTTTTTCCTTTTGTTGCTTATACTTTTGGTGTCAAATATAAGAATCCATTGCCATATTCAAGGTCATCAAGATTTATCCCTATATTTACTTCCAAGAGTTTTATTGTTTTAGCTCTCACATTTAGGTCTTTAATCCATTTTGAATTCGTTTTGTATGTGGTGTGAAATTTGGGATACAACTTCATTATTTTGCATGTGGATATCCAGTTGTCCCAGCACCATTTGTTGAAAAGACTATTATTTCCCTATTGAATGGTATAGCACCCCCATTGGCCATAGATGTATGGATTTATTTGTCAACTCCCAATTCTATTCCATTGATCTATATGCCTATCCTTATGTCAGTATAATATTATTTTGATTACTGTAGCTTGTAATAAGTTTTGAAATTGGAAAGTGTGAGTCCTGCAACTTCGATTTTCTTTATCAAGATTGTTTTGACTATTCAGAGCCTCTTGCAATTCGATGTGAAATCAAAGATCAGCTTTTCCAATTCTAGTATAAAAGGCTATTGGGATTTTAATAGGGATTGCATTGAATCAATAGAGATTTCTTTGGATAGTATTACTATCTTAACAATGTTAAATCTACACCCCATCTATGAACATGAAAATTTTTTTCCATTTAGATATTTTCTAATTTCTTTCATCAATGTTCTGTAGTTTTCAGTGCAAAATTTAGAGTGCTCTTGAAGGCTGATGCATACACTCCATAAAACTGTATGGTAATATTGCCACCTTTTGAGGGGCATCAGATTGTAACCAAGTAGCATCTCTAAAAATTTGCTGTCTGTGCTCTTACATTGTGGTTATAACATTTTTGATGACAAATACAAATATTTGAGTGTTCTTGTTAACTCCATGGCATTGTTACATCTTTGTATTTTATCATTGTAGTCCAACATGAAGAAACAACATATATTGCAATTGCTTTGAAATCATCAATTCACCTTTATGCGTGGGCACCAAAGTCCTTTGATGAAAGCACTGCTATTAAAGTGAGTAATCTCCTTTTCCTTTGGACCATACAGTTTTTCTTTTAAGAAGAAATTGTAAACTGAACACTATTTTGGAATACAGATGCAGAGGTATATACCATTCTTCTACAATTAATGTAATTTGAATATACCATGTCAATAATTATCATTTAGCCCTTTTCTAGACACTTCACAGGCACCACAGCAAGGGAGAATGTGAGGGAAATCCCTGACCCCTCCCCTACAGGACCTCCCCACCAGCTTCTCACTTCCAATTCCTGTAGTCAACATGAAGACCTTCTCTTCTAGAGCTCAAACCCAGGCTTTGGGTTCCACCCACAATGCCCTGAAGCTCAGAAAGTCCTTGTTCTCTCTTAGTGGGGGGTGGAGAGCAGAGGGAAGGTAAGAAAAGGTGTGACAAAGGTAGAAGAGTTAAGGCTCCTGGAAGAAGGAAGAGGGAAGAAAAAGCCTTTGCTCCAGTCACCATGGCTACAATAGGTGAGGGTGGGAAGGAACTGGGTGGGTCTATATTCCTTCCAAGCTGGAACTCTAAACACATTTCTTTCTAGAGTTATTGCAAGGCGTGATGGTTAGGCTCACAAAGTATTCTTTCCACCTTTATTATGGTTTAACTGAACTTCTATGGATCAGCCACTGAAGGTAACCATTTAGTATCCCAAACAATTAAGCTGTTGATGATTTTTTTAAATCACATCTCATAAAGTGGGGACTGTTTTTATTTAATATAGAGTAACTTCTTTATAATACTTTAGAATTCCACTTAAATTGAATTATTTTGTATTTACTCCATAGTAACGAGGGCTGATTAATAAACTGGGAGCATTCTCTCAAGTCCAGTAGCTCCTAATCTGGGATATACATCAGAATCAGCTGAGCATTTGTTAACAGTTTAGATCTCAGACCCAACCCCAGGCTGAATTAGTAGGTCTGGAGTGGGGCCTTGGAATCTATATTTTTAGCAAATGTTTCAGGTGATATTGAATTGGTTGGTCCATGGATAAGTTTTTACAAAGCACCGATAGGGACACATCCTGATCAAAGCCAGCAAGGTATTCATTCATGAAATACTTTTGTATCTTGGGTCAGGATCTGTTTACATGGCATATTTTGTAGGCCAAAACATCACATGTATGCAATAAAGGTGGGATAATTCTTACAACTGTCTCTCCATGTCTATTTGCAAAATAACTGTGTTCTTTTATAAATAGCACAGACTACTACATATACAGTCTGGGTCTGCCCTGACACAAATTACATCACTTATCTGATCTCCCTAAATTGGGTCCTGGGTCAGCTGTCAGTATTTGGATATGGGTTTATTCTTGGGTGTCTGCTGATTGGTCAGCGCTGCCTGGTATGGAGCTGGAAAGCAAAGAGATAAGTACCAACATTCTGTCTAGCCTGATACACAGTTCATGGTCCAAGTCCTCACTCCAGTTCTTGAATCCCACTTCACGACTGCAATATGGTGAATCCTGTGATGCTCAGTCCGCTACCATGACCGGATCTTGGCAGTGAATCCTGTTTGTCCCTTTGTTTCCTTGGACTAGAAACCATAGGAGCCTAGAGTACACCTAGTCTATGGTAGGTTAACATGTCTGGCCCTTTTCATTCCCTACCAAGTATGCATTGATCAGTCAGCAGACTCCGAAGGAGACTACATGTCCTATGAAGCCTATATACGAATACTGGCAAAAATACAGGCAGCTGATCCAGCGAACCGGTTTAAGAGACCAGATGAGCTCCTTCATTTGCTGAAGCTCAAGGCAAGGAACTTAAAGACAGCAAACTGAGTGCAGGGCTCTTATGATCATAGCCAATTTGACCTTTGAAGGGAAACTCAATATTTACAACCTGAATATAATTATTTCTTTGTTGTAGTAATGGACCTAAGAAAAGTTGTAATACATAGGTCTCTAAATACAATATGCCATTAAAAAAAAAAAAATCCGCCTGGGTTTTGGAAGTCTGGAAATCTGGCAAAAGAATGGGGGATTTTGCCTTAGTTAGAATGTCATTTCTGGCCTTTTGGCCGTATTTGGTTTTATATTCACAGGTGTTTCCAACACTTGGTCATAAGCCAGTGACAGTTGACCTGTCTGTTGGCTCTGAAAAAAGACTAAAGATTTTCTTCAGCTCAGCAGATGGATATCACATCATCGATGCAGAATCTGAGGTTATGTCTGATGTGACCCTGCCGAATAACGTAAGATAATACCTTCAGATCCCTAGAAATGATTGTATGCCACTATCTGAATATTTCCAACTGTCGAAACTGAGAGGTTTAGATATATGATTAGCAATATCTATACTGGAACTGAGACCTAAAAGGTAAGTATAGAGTGCCAGAAAGTGATTTTGCATAAACAAATATCACTGACGATTTCTTAGTCCAGACAGTTGAATCTATTTGGCAGATAGATTTTGTCTGGAACAGTGTTGTTTTGTTTTGTTTTTCTTTCTTTCTTTCTTTCTTTCTTTCTTTCTTTCTTTCTTTCTTTCTTTCTTTCTTTCTTTCTTTCTTTCTTTCTTTTCAGGATATTATAGGGGTACAAACATTTTGGTTACATGTAATGCTGTTTGCCCTGCCCAAGCCAGGGCTACAAGTGTGTCCCTCCCCCATACAGTGTGCTCCGCTTCCATTAGTTGTGAATTTACCCCGCCACCCCATCCCTACTAGCACCCAGTGAGTATTACTACCAGGTGAACAATTTAGTGTTGGTAAGTTAGTACCAATTTGATGGCGAGTACATGTGGTACATGTTTTTCCTTCCTCGTGTTACCTCATTTCATAGGATGGGCCCAATCTCTATCCAGGAGGTGCTAGTTCACCATTGTTTTTTATAGTTGAGTAGTACTCCATGGTATACATATACATTTTATTAATCCACTCATGTATTGATGGGCACTTGGGTTGTTTCCACATTTTTGCAATTGTAAATTGTGCTGCTGTAAACATTGCAGATGTCATTATTATAGAATATCTTTTTTTCCTTTGGATAGATGCCTAGTAGTGGGATTGCTGGATCAAATGGTATTTCTATCTTTAGCTCTTTGAAGTATCTCCAAGTACTTTCCATAGGGGTTGTACTAATTTGCAGTCCTACCAGCAGTGTAAGAGTGTTCCAATCTCTCCACATCCATGCCAGCATTTGTTGTTTTGGGACTTTTTGATAAGGGCCATTCTCACTGGATTTAGGTGATATCTCATTATAGTTTTGATTTGCATTTCTCTAATCATTAGAGATGCTGAGCATTTTTTTTATATTTGCTGGCCATTAGTCTGTCTTCTTTTAAAAGTTTCTCTTCGTGTCCTTTGCCCATTTATTGATGAAGTTGTTTGATTTTTTCTTATTGATTTTCTTAAGTTCTATATAGATTCTTATTATCAGCTCTTTATCAAATGTGTAGAAAACAAATATTTTCTCCCATTCTGTAGGTTGTCTATTCACTCTAATGACAGTTTCCTTGGCTGTGCAGAAGCTTTTTAATTTGATCAGGTCCCATTTCTTTATTTTTGTTGCTGCTGTGATTGTTTTGGTGGTCTTCTTCATAAATTCTTTGCCTAGGCCGATGTCTAAAACAGTCTTCCCAACATTTTCTTCCAGAATTCTTAAGGTTTCATGCCTTAGGTTTAAGTCTGTGTTATCCATTGTGAGTTGATTTTTGTGAGAGGTGAGAGGAGGGGATCTAGTTTCAATCTTCTGCATGTGGATATCCAGTTTTGCCAACACCACTTATTGAATAGAGATTCTTTTCCCCAGTGTATATTTTTGTCCTCTTCGTCAAAGATTAGATGACAATATGAGGATGGTTTTATATCTGGGACCTCTATCCTATTCTAAAGGTCTATATCTCTGTTCTTGTGCCAATCCTATGCTGTTTTGGTTACTATAGCCTTGTAGTAAAGCTTGAAGTCTGGCAGACTGATGCCTTCCAATTTGTTCTTTTTGCTTACAAGACTTTGTCTCCAAAAAAAAAAAAGACTGCTTTGGCTATACAAGGCCTTCTCTGGTTCCATACGAAGCATAGAATTATTTTCTCTAAATCTGTAAAGAATGGTTGTGGTTTTTTGATAGGGATTGTGTTAATTCTGTAGATCACTTTAGGTAGTATGAACATTTTAACAATATTGATTCTACCAATCCATGAACATTGCAGGGTGTTTTTTGTTTTGTTTTTGATGAATATAGTTTACATTTAAAATCTGGACTTCTTTTGACAAACCAGAAAACCTGACAATATCAGGCCATTATCTACTGGAACTGATGCATGCCTGCCTCCTTTTAGATGGGATATGTGTGCTACATTCTCTATTCATCTTTATGCACTTATAATAACAAGCCCTATGAGGTATTTGAATTTGTAGTCCTTGCTTTAGTTCTTCTGCACCCCATAATGCATTAACAGATTTTTAAAAAATACAACATCAGTATTGCAGAATTATTTTTGTATCTTCTTTCTTTATTGTATCACTTTAACTGTGACATACAGAAAATAATAGTAAAATATTCTCTTATTATAACAATTATAGTTTGAATTTCTGATAAAAGGATTCACCATTTTAAAAGCAAATGTACCTCTACTCTTAACTCTTAAATAATTATATATATTGAAAATATATCATAGCATCTAAAATATGGATAGTGACAAAAATACTATACACACCATTTCTATAAAGAGCTCCAATATAACATCCCCCTAATACACACACACAACCATACAAAATTTAATTCTACTATGTCTAAAATTTGATGGTAGAAATGATGTCTATCGTATTGAAAATTATATTTAAAAGGAAGGCCTGAGCCAGCCGTCCTCTGCTTTACCCTTTTTAAATCCCCAATTTGTATACAACCAAAATGTATCAGTTTTGCATTATATAAAAAGTCTGGGAGAAAACTTTTAGGTACTTTTAAATCACTGTAGTTGTGTGATATTTTGAACAGCTTTTAGAATTATCTTATACTTCTCTAACAAATTACATAAACCAATTATCAGGATGTCAGTGGAAACATTTTTTTAAGTCTTTTGGTCATGTTAACAATCATTAGCTGATCATCCAGTTGTTGCCCATGATTGTATAGAAGTCACTCTGTTAATAATATAGAAAATACTGAACTAATCCCAGCCAAAGCCGCTTAGATATGAGGTTAAGTTAATGTTAATACAAGTATTGTATTACTCTTCAGTTAGATTGTCTTCCATAGCTTCCTGCATCTTTATTTTAGTACTGTATCAGATAGCCTTTATTTAGAATCTAGTGTAATATTGAATATTGCAGCATTGGTCCAAGTTTATACTTATTTGAAAAGCCATTCAAGAAGGTTGAACCTTGTGTTCCACTTGACTAATAAGCAAGGAAAATTATTTCCTTTTGAAGCAATCCATTAATTACACTGGAAGCGAGAATGAGAGATGAGTTTTAATCATTTTCTGGCCTAATTAGGATACCTTGTGTATACATTCAAAAATAGTTTTAGCTAAATGCTCCTGTGTCTTGACCCATTAAAAGAAAGAGGACTGCTATATCAGGGAGGGGAGGGTGTCTTCTGAAACAGAATGTACTAAAAATACTATTTTTCCAAGAGTGATAGATTACAAAAGCTGTAATACTACAACAGAACTATGTGTGCTAAAGAATATCTGGTTACTTCAGGAATCATCTGAGAAGCAAGAGAATTACCTCGGAAGCTGTCTGGATTTGTAGCCATTCAGTTTTATTCTAAACAGATTTTACTGAGACAACCTTCTGTCTTGCAATTTCTTTTACACTCTTTCTTCATCTCTTTTCTGATTCAATTGCTCATGCAAGTTCCCAGGGAACGCATTAAAATTGCTTTTCGCCTCTGGATCCCCATTTTAGTTTTAAGGATTGTTGTTGCTGAGACATGGCCTCAAGCACTTGGCCTGAGTACGCTGGGTTTGGCAAGTATAGTTTCTGACCTTTTTTTTATAACGTGCTAATTTGGAGAAACAGTAGAAGAAAACAAAAATTCTTCATTTCTCAGGGAAATACTGTTGATGTGACAATATCTGTAGTTTAAACACATTTTGTCACATTATTTTATGTATCATGAAATGTAGAAATGCTTAGGTATTTCTTAGTATTTCATATTATGTCATCTAATACATCTCTGCATATGTGTGTTAAATATATTTTTAAATTATATTAATTGGATAAGTAATCCTACCTTTTCTGCAAAGGGGAGATGACTGTTATATTTCAAGTTATGAAGAATATTATAAAGCTACTCCTTGTAAGGATTTTAAGCTCAAGCTATCTCTAGATTAATTTTCCATTTCTGATTTGAATGAATTGGCTGATAACCAAGGATTGTGTATTTGCTACTTGGTCTGCACATTCAGTACTGAAGTATTTGTTAATGTGCTGAAATGAATCTTAAATTCAAGTCTGTAACATGTACTGTTTCTTCTATCACTCTCCATAATACTTTTGAAATTTCAAGAAATTCCTCTGTGTTGGAAATATATCTCTGCCTTTTTTTTTAAACAAGACTTTTCCCTAAATATAAAAGAGAACATTAAATAGATATGACTTGATGACATAAGGGAAGCAGCTCTTTGCAAGTGTTGGATAGCATGCTTATTAATTTGGAAATAGAGGTTTCTCTTCCTCCTTCTGCTTTGAACCTCTTTTGGTCTTTATTGCTCAGTCAAGCTGCTTTGATTAAAGTAGTAGTGATAAAATGTTGGACATGTAAGTCTTCATGAAACATAATTCCAGCCCCTGGAAATCATTATACCACAGAATATCATCATTTTACCTGATTGCTTGGGAATTGGTGTGATGCTTTCCTTCAATGCCGAAGCCCTCTCAGTGGAAGAAAATGAACAACTCTTTAAGAAGATCCTTGAAGTGTGGAGAGACATACCATCTTCCCTAGGTATGTACAAAATTTCTTAGTCCTTCATATGATCCCAGGGAAACTTTTCAAGGGTAAAAAATGTGTCCTAAGAAAGGGTTTCCTGAATTATTTATTACATTTTCTCAAGACACATAGGATGAATTTGGGGTCCTGCATATTTATTCCCCTAGTAAATTGATTCCTGTGTTTGTCGTATGTTTAATGAATTCATGAGAGGACTACAAAGAGACTCATTTTGGTTGTCTGACTTGTTTATTTGCAATATTATATAATTGAAACAGGAGCTAATTCCTTTCCATAATAATCTGTAATTTTGTTTTAACTCCCTTTACCTGCAGACTTTACACAGATGTTGAAAATGCTTCTTTTCACCACATTGATTTTGGAGGTTGACCTTTATCTTAGGAGACTGCCAAATAGTTGTAAAAGAGAGCAAAATATTTCTATTTTGTGTAGTCAATAGTTTTCTGTTTAGTGAGTGATATTCCTGTGAAGAATCAAATCATTTAGAGAAGAGATAGGTATGACTGACTGGGATGCCTATTCGGTACCACCCAGTTGGCAGCAAAGAAAACTGCATTTTCATCTTCATCAGACTGGGACATTTTTTTTTCTTCCTATTCAATGCAGAACTCCTGAGCTAGGAAATCCAAATAATTTGAGATTCTTATGTATTTTTCTGAAGCTTGGTGACTACAGGGGTAATTCTAGGTAGGGAACAGAATGCATATGAAAAGTAAAAATATTAGAGAGAGTAGAATGATTAGATGGAGGACAGCTATTTCTGAAAGAAGGAGAAGTTTAATGGAGTAAATAAAGGAGAAAGGCAGCAGTGTGTGTGTGTGTGTGTGTCTGTCTGTCTGTCTGTCTATGTAGAGTGAGAGGAAGGTGGTCTGTTAAGAGAGAAGCCAGAAGCCTCTGAAATCTTTATAAGATGACTAAATATGATCCTCATGTGGCTTTAAGGACCAGTTTGAAAGAACTGCTTTTTAATGAACATTTTTTTATATGGTATGATGGCATTTTGCACTGCATCTGCAGAATCCTTTCTTTTTTGCATACATAGTCAGTGTTAAGGATTGTCCTGAAAACCTGCTCCAATTTCTACAAACAGGTAAGAACTCACAGAGGGTTTAAAACCATTTTAAGTGACAGAAGGTAAATGCATACCATATAATTGACAGATCTGGGGCAAAAGAAAGTAAAAATAATGAATCATATTCTAGCCTTTATTGTAGTACGTTTGTGATCGATATGTTAATCAGAAATGAGAATAAGGAAATTCAGTTCAAATTGGAAACTGAACAAACCGCTATATTTATGCCACTAAACAATCATAAGAGTCAAAGGGATCTTGAAAAGTCATCTGGTACAGCTCTTGTTGTTAGGCAGGACAACTGAACTAAAACAGAAAGCTATTTTAAGTTGCTAGAATTTGAAAAACATCTATAATTAAAATAAATTATACCACTATAAGAACATGATATTTTAGTTTGTACATTAAGGATATTTTGAGAATATACTAAAGACTATAGTATAACACTGATATTAAGAAAATCGATTACTCTCTTTTTCTGTCTAAAAACAACTGCTTTGTTATTTAAAACTAATCCAGAGGTAGATTTCTCCAATCTAAGATTTTATATTTCCTGGAGCTATAATAAATGTGTTCAAGAATAAGATCAGTGCTCTGAATTTCCAAAAAAATATATAGAGATTTAACAATCACAGCTAGTATTACTAAGTGTTCCCATTTCCAAATCACTGGGTCCCATCTCAGAAAGCAAGCTAACTCAGTAGCCAGGTTAAGTGGGAGATGTAGTGTTTAAGGACTAAGGTGGAAATTATGTGATGCCATATGAGCCGTACTTGGACTCAGCAATTACCTTTGGTTTAAGTTTAGAAGTTTTTGCTCTATGTGGTTATTGACAAAAATGCCATTTTTAATGAATAGTCACATAGGTGAAAAAATTTAAATCCAGATAGACTAAGTCTGTTACTTATTCACATCTCTCAGGCCACTGGTGTTCCTTATTTCCCTTATATCTGGGATGCTTTTAATTCTAGTCTGAAATTGGACTTACAAAGTCTTCTAGAACAGTTGTTTTTCTGAGTCAAAATATGATTGTCATTTAATTACAATTTTGATGTCAGTTTCATACACATAAATATTTTGATTTGTAGTGTAAAAGGAAGCAGGAGATAAATGATTGGTAAGTTTTGGTTGAGGGATTGAAAATGGCTCACACTATGCCTATGAAAAGTCACTTTTATAAATGTTTAATAATTTATTCATGAGTCCTTTTATGCATATTTAATGTATAAATATACAGGCCAGGTAAATTTTGGTTTAAACAAAGGCATCCTAGAACTCTTAAGATAAGGAAAAATTTTAAAAACCTTTCTTATAATTATATCAAAGCAGAATTTATTCTCTTTATAATAAAAAAAAATAAAAAGTCAAAGTAACTATTTAAATTCTGATTTGAATCACATTAATATGGGAATAAAATTGCCTTTGTTGTTTTCTAGACTACTTCACCTCAAGTTAAAATCTTGATGTTATTTTAAATATCAGAATTTGTTCATTTATAGAATGTTTCTCCCTAAAGTACATAAAGAATATTAACTTGAAAGTTAAATGTTTAATGGTAATGATGCTCCGTGTGTCAGAAATTACCTTACAGCACCAGTCCTCTGTCTGGCTATTTACATAATTAGGTTTAAGGAAATTATTGTCATAAGCTATATTGCCACTAGGTATTATAAAACAGGGCCCAAAAAGTTAAAGTCTTAATAAAAATTTCCTAAGTCTTAACAGTATCAAATTAGCTTTAGTTCTACTTATAACATGGTAGTTTGTTAAATTGCGTTAGGGTTGCTACAGTCATTGTTTGAGCAAGTCGTTTTTTAATAGTTTTGATTTTTAAGAGTTAGGTTTCTATGTATGTCACTGAAGCACAAATATAAACCCTTATCAGGAACACTGTACCTCACCTAGACTATAAAATAAAGAATGGCTCTGAGTAGATTTGAGTTTTTATAAACAGGGGAGAATTAACCCTTAGCTTTTTCTGTGGTCTTAGAGAATTATAAATACAAGAATTAATTGAGATCTTATAACTCAGTGTTGGTCACATGAACCCTTTAAATAGCTGGTTTGAGCACCACTCCTGAGCAGCAAAATGGCCAGATAACTGACTATAGAAGGGGAAAAAAGGATGTGTTAACCTGAACTGTAATAATGAGCCTCTTAATAATGAAAAATAATGACATGTTGACTATGGTTATAATTTTCTATGACTATTGGAAAGATTTTGTTTTTCTGATTTTTTTTACTTGTATTGTAGCTTTAGAGTGTACACAGCGAACCACAGGATGGGGCCAGAAGGCCATTGAAGTGCGCTCATTGCAATCCAGGGTTCTGGAAAGTGAGCTGAAACGCAGGTCAATTAAGAAGCTGAGATTCCTGTGTACCCGTGGCGACAAGGTATAGCTCATACTCTCCAGTTAGAGCAAAAGTAAAGTAACTATTGAAAATTGACTAACTAAAGAAATGTATGTCCTTTTCCTTCTGGCCATAAATATATTTGTGTTATATCTTTCAAGTTGGCATATTGTTGATAAAAACAATTTTACATTTTGCAGTAGAAACATTGATTTGATAAATGATGAAGTTTGATTTCAAAAAAAAAAAAACCCAAAACCCCATTTTGGAAAAAAAGTAAAAATTCCAGTTATGTCTTAGGCAAAGCTTAGCTGTTATTTTGTTTAGTGCAGAATCCTTTATTGTCTTAGATCTATAGTCTCTTTTATGTTCATACTAAAATGATATTTTTAAACAAAATGCTTGAGCAAACCTTCCTTTCATCGCTTTCAGTGTGATTCAATAACATAAGGAAAAAGTACTCAGTTTGCTGAGCACCTAATTAAATGTAGACCTTTTGTTAGGTACTTTAATAGTTATCTCAACTTATCTTCATGAAATGGGTATTATGATGTTCATTTTGCAGAAAAGAAAAATAAAATCAAGATTTGGAAATTATTTGTGTGATTCGATCACACAATTTTACCAATAAAAATAGTTTAGATGAAAAATTTCATTGTATAAAGTCATTACCATTCCTACATATTATGAAAAATAAAAAAAATAGTGCAAAGAAATGATCCTAATAAGATTAGGAAAAAAATCGTGTTTAGAAGAGACTGCAGAGGGTTCAAATTAATATTAGAATAGTCAGAGTAAAGCCCCATATGTACATCAAGGAAAGGTGCCGATTTGCAATGTAAGAGATGCAATAGCAAGAACCTGTGTTTGAGGGAAGATAGACCGAGGATGCAGTCCTGGCTCTGCCACCTAAGTTTGAGAACCTGAAAGTTTAATTGATCTTTTTGACCCTTAGTTCCTTCATTTCCAAAATGGGAATATTAATAACTGCTTTGGGAACAGTCATGAAAATGAGTGATACTGTGTCTAAATATCTCACAGATGGCCTGACACATAAAATGTGTTAAGTCAAAGGTAGCTACCATATCTTATCATCATCATTATTGTTATGTCCAACCCTCCCAAGTATAACTGTTGTGGATGTCAAAAGCCTCAGTCCTAACAATGTGGGTTCTTTGATATTAATATTTATGCCCATGTTCTGTTCTGATTTTTCTTATGTCACAGCTTATATTCACACAATGTGTCCCTCTCATTTTATCAACCTATTGATGCCAGTCCATTTCCCCAAAATGGAAAATTGCACAAGTGGATGTTAAGTGCTCTCACCACAAAAATGATAACTATTTGAAGTAATGGCATTTGTCAATTAGCTAGATTTAACCATTCCCCAATGTGTATAGACTTCAAAACATCATATTGTAGACCATAAATTAACTACAATGTTATCTATCAATTTTTAAAATTTTAAAGAAAATTTTTTTAAATAATGAAAAAAGGAAAGAAAATCGCACCAAGTAGAAAATTTCAGTGGCTTCTTAAACACAAGCAGCAATGAGAAACAGCATCTAAATAATTTGTTTCCTTATATTTAAAGAAAAGCCAACTTGAGTAAAAATAGATTATTGTTTTAAAAAGCAAAGAATCATTAACCCAAAACTAAAAACTTCAGCAGATGAATGCCATTTACAAAAAATCCCTAATTTTATTTAAATTGTAAAAATTACTACTATGTAGACTACGGTAAAAGGTTATTTTTAAATGTATAATTTAAACTCCAAACTAATCTAAACTTTTATCTTTTAATCTGAAGAAAATCTGTTCCAAAAAAAAGTATGGCTTAATATTTTAATTAGCATATGCAGATAAATTGAAATTACAGTTATATCAAATATTTGGTTACAATGTCTTAAATATCTGATAGCGTCTTTCTTTCTTTTTAAAGCTGTTCTTCACTTCTATCCTGCGCAATCGCCACAGCCGGGTTTACTTCATGACCCTTGGAAAACTTGAAGAGCTCCAAAGCAGCGATGGTGTTTAAAAGCTTCCTATGATTTGTTGCAATATTTACTAACTTCAAACGTATGCAATTTGCGTCTTCAGATTTCTGAGATTAAATGAGCATTCAGTTTTCTTTTTAGTGAAAAATTAAATCAGAAACTTAACTTTTAATGTAGCACAGAATAGTTTAATGAGAAATGCAGCTTTATATATAAAATTAACTATAGCAAGCTCTATGTACTGCAATGGTGTACAATGTCTTTTGCACAAACTTTGTAACTTTTGTTACTGTGAATTCAAACAGTGCTCTTTGGACAGTTTGGACAGTATCTGTATTCACATTTTACAACATGGAGTAAAGAATCCTGTTATGAATTAGATTATAAGCAGCTTTAAAAAGAATTGGCCCTGGGTAGGATTTTTCTGAAAAAGAAAAGCATTGACAAACCATATGTGATTTTTCTAAAGTCATATAAGGAACCAAAGGTTAGATCATGAAACAAAAATCTTAAGGACTGTGTTATAACCCAGACTAAGGTTGAACAACCTGCATGCCCAGAGAAAACTATAGTAATAAAGAGGAAAATGGAAAATGCCACCCATTTTCCTCACCTGCATCATGACAGTTAAGTTCACAGTTAAAGACCAGTTGTGTTCTTTTCACCCCAAGTTAAGCTGGTTTTCTCCCAATAAGAAGAAAGGAAGAAAGCCTCAAATGTTTGGTTTTCCTCAGAACCCCCAAAGATGTGCAATAGCTGTTTTTATAAACCACCAAATAATACACTTGCAAGCCTGAATACAGGACTGAACTCCTATATACATGTACTGTAGAATTAATTCATTTTTTAATACTTTAAAGTAGGCGTCAAATTCTACCCCCATGAGAAGATTGGTTGATTTATCAAAATTATTATCTGGCCAACATTGTTACCATCAAAAAACATTAAATATTTGCCCAATCCCAGATTAAACTATATAAAAATTTCCCTTCAGTTATTAAACAAAAACAATAACACAAATGCAAAAACTTTGCTAATACCTATGTTTTTCATGTTTCTAGTTTTGTAAAATCAGAAATTAAAAATGTTTCAGTGGTGTAGGTGCTTAATGTTATAGATAAAAAAAGGAAAAGATTTTCAAAACATATAGCTTGTATCATTTCTCTATGTCTGCAAAATTAAAGTAGTGAAAGTCATTCTAGTCCATCACCCAAATATCTTTATAGACGCCAAAGATAGGTGATGTTTGGTCACCTATGGTAACTGCTACCTGGTAAAAAGCATAATTTCTGCATATCCATCCTCAATACCATGGTTAGTTCTGGGGCAATAGAGAAGCAACAGAACTACCACAAAGTATACCTCAATATAATTCCTCTAGTTCTGCTTCTAAAATCTGGAGACAGTACTAGTGGGATAATCATTTTCAAACTACCTGGTTAACCAAAATACAAAAGCAGCTGACTATGTGTGATTTCATGATAGCACACATTATTTCTTGGCACTCGGTGCCAGAAATGAAGATTTGGATTTTCCTAACAACTTATATCAAGAGTGTAGTAGCTCAGTAATGAGAATTTAGGAGAACCTGAATCCACGAATTAAAGACATAAATGTGATTCGCATTTCTGTTACTGTGACACAATAATGTGATCCTAAAACTGGCTTATCATTGAGTGTTTACAACTCAAATGACTTTTTAAATACCGTAGTTTAAAAAGAAAAACTTTTATGTCAAATTATTTCCTTAGAAGTAGTCTTCATTATTATAAATTTGTACACCAAAAGGCCATGGGGAACTTTGTGCAAGTACCTCATCGCTGAGCAAATGGAGCTTGCTATGTTTGAATTTCAGAAAATTTTCTCATTTAAGTAGTATGTAGAATCAAGTCTTTTAATAATTCATTTTTTTCTTCGTATTTACTCAAAGTTAAGCTTAAAATAAGTTTTATCTTAAAATCATATTTTTAAAGCAGTAAGACAGTAAACTATTTTAGCAAATCAACTCCCATTGTGTTCTGTGGCAGTTAATCCAGTAAACATAGGTAACAGTGAACTGAATTTACAAAGAGATCCCAAAGTAACCACACAAGAGAGATTGTAAATGTGTAACTGAGCTTTAAATGATAGGTGTTAATAAAGAAAGGAAGCTGAGCACATATCAAGAAGGGAGATTGAAATGTTGGGTAGCCAAATAGAAAGGACTGAAAATATTTAAAGTGGTTCATAGGCAACGAATATTTCCAATTTAGATATAAATCCATCAGGAATCTTTTACATCTTTTGCCAACTGAAACAAGAAAGTTAAAGGGACAAATGAAATTTCATAGTCAGTGCACTTTGTAATAGACAAAAGAAATTGTGTCTACACTTCACGTAAAGCAGCAGTGCCTGGATGCCCCAGCCCATCACACAAGTGTGGAGGGGGATTTCTGACTAGCCAGTTTCCCTATCCCTGTGATTGGAAGCATGAAAGTTCTGGCAGGTCGTGAGCAGCACTAGGGACAGAGTATCGCTTTATTTTGGTGTAATTTAGTTGTTTCACCAAAGCCCTTGTCCAAAATAAAAAGGCATTGTTGGAAGTATTTGAAAATTAGAAAATGATGGATGAAAAGGGCTGATAAGAAAATTTCTGAGTGGTTACATCAGTTGAAGTAAGGTAAGATCCTCAGAGGAAACAGTAAGAAGGGGTGATCATTAAGATAGTAAAACAAGCAAAGCAAAATCACACATGCACTCTCGCACATATATCATTAGAATGCATACATTTTAATGTTTTCAGTGCTGTTAGTTTCTAGATAAGTTAATCAGTAAGTGTTATCTGCCAGGATTCATTTAGTTGAGACAGTATCCATTAAACTAGGAATAATGCCACATGAATTTAATGGGATCTTTTAAGTACTCTTTAATGTGTTTTAAGAAATTTGCCTACTTAAATCAATTTGTATTCAATCTGTATTCTAGAAAATATTGAATCAATCTTCAAGACTGCTAATTGTTTTATCAGAAAATCTGCAACGAATCATTATTCCACCTCTAAAATAAAATTTTAAAAAATCTGTGGTTGATGTCATTATTGAAATATACTTGCCTAATGCCTTTGAATTACGACTCATTTGAGGACTATTGATTTCTTTAAAGTATGTAGTAATGTACTGATTGGAATATGTTAGGGCTTCTGCTTATCATTACATTAGGAATTCTGGCCAAAGAGCGATATATTAATCCAATTAAAGAAAAACTTTCTGGCTACAGTGGTGAAATTAGAAACTGATTAATTTTCCTCTAAGTATATGGGATTTTACACATAGGCACAGACTCACACAGTTTGGGTAAAACCCAAGCAAGATTTAATTCTGCCCTCCCTCCTATCCCACCCCAGTATCTTCAAGTCCGGGGGGAGGAAAGAGGAGGAACCCTATCCACAGAGAGAAGTAAATATTTCTAGTCTCTTACATTTAAGAAATAGTTTAGTGCAGGCTGATGGTGGAAAATGGAAGATGGAGTAATCATGGCAGGTTGCGAAGAAAGCTGAGTCCTTCCTTTGAGACCAGGAGTGCAGTACTTCCCTCAGCAGGTTTCCAGCCATGAAGCATTAGAGGCATGCACATCCTGTTATATTGGGACATATTCAAAGGCCAAATTCAAAATATTTCATTACAATCAAAAAGTGATTCATCTGATTTTATTATAGGGCCCAATGACTTCAACTACCTTAAGCAACATTGTTGTGAGCCAAGGAGTACAAGTATCATCACAAATTGGAATTAGTTTGGGCAAAGTGAGGCACCCAAGACTGAGAAAAAGTTTTATCCTGGGGACCCTTTACAAAAGCATGGAGACAGGGTTGGTCATGAGTAGGAGTCATTAGTCATTAGCTATTAATAACTTTATCACTCACAATGGGAAGAGTGGGGTTTACAGACTTCAATGCTGTGAATCTATTGACTTAATCTCTTTCAAACACTGATTGCCATCAAATCTAACAGCACTATTTTATATTTATAGAGCTTTTACCCCTGACTTGAGGATACTTAGGTTCTTAAAGATAACAAAACCATTGAATGTGGCTACTCTTTAATTCCAGAAATTGAATGGTAGCAGTTAATGAATTAAGGTCAAACATGTTTCAGAGAGCACTGGCACATGTCATATTTTATGTCATTCAAAACTATGTCAAACTGATTCAAAAAATATCAATCCAGAGGGAGTAAACTTAATTCTATATGGATTTACATTTTCAGAAGCTAGTCCAAAGCCTACTTTGCAGATGAATACAAAATCAGATGTGGGATTAACCATTTCTTATGGCTTTGCCACCCCATATGTCAAAGTACCTCGTTTGGTGCTTAACATACAGAAAATGTTCAATAAAAATGAGAGTTGAAGGGACGAAATGGGCCATTTTCTTTGCCTGAATTGTTCTTAGTGCTATTTTAGTTACAACCACTTAAAATTCGCAAATCCATTTATTGTTGCATGAAAGTACCATTTGAGTTCTGGTGACTAAAAGGTCAGGACCTATCTTCAGTAATTTCAAAAGATTTTCTCCCAGAAACCTGAAACATAGATTAATAGAATAATTGTGTCCATTTATTTATTTATTTATTTTTATTTTAGTATATTACAGGGGTACAAATGTTCAGGTTACATATATTGCCTTTGCCCCACCCGAGGCAGAGCTTCAAGCATGTCCATCTCCTAGACGGTGTGCACCACACCCATTAGGTGTGAATATACCCATCCTCTCCTTCCCTCCCATCTGCCTGATGAATGTTATTACTTTATGTGCACAAAAGTGTTGATCAGTTAATACCAATTTGATGGTGAGTACATGTGGTACTTGTTTTCCATTTTTGCAATATCTCACTTAGTAGAATGGGTTCCAGCTCTATCCAGGATAATAGAAGAGGTGCTAGATCACCATTGATTTTGTGGTTGAGCAGTACTCTATAGTACACATATGCCACATTTATTAATCCTTTTTAAATTTTATCTTTAAAGCAACACATAAGGGCTAATGTGATCCAAGACTCATGAGTAATGACAAAGATTGTTTAATAATGCTAAAACAACACAAAAAATAAAAAAGCCGTTCAACTGGCAGTTTTGTATAATGTGATTTTTTTGGCAAGATTAACTCTTTATGGTGTAGCATCCTGAGACATATTTAAGGATCTTCAAAGGATCTTCATACTTTTTCAAACAAAAATTTTAAATTATGTTCCCATAACTAGATAGATCCCAGGCATTCACTGAAGGCACTTTCTTAGAAGATGAAATAGTGTGTCTGACTTGCAGGTGGGCAGGTAGGCATTAAAATATAATGCCAAATGTAACCGTCTATCCAAATCTAAAAAGCATTCATGTTAACACCATAAAGTTGGGTCTCACAGTTGAGACAGTTGGAAATGAATGTAATGAAGTTTAAGGCAAATTAAACTACACAAAATGAAAAGCTTCTTTCTACAAATAAAATTAAAATTATATGACAAGTTGGAAAAATAGGGGCCTCATTTGACATTGTAAAAAGCATTTATGAGTTTTACTCCACAAATTTGAATGTGCAAAACATAAACAAAAACAGTTATGTGGACTCCAACTCCCATCCTTCCAGTCTTAGGGGACATTTATAATCTTAATCATTATTTGGGCTTCCCTCATTCATTCATTGTGGTTATATAAAGGTCCCAGGTATCTTTTACAGATGAGAAAATTCAGGGGTGCTCCACTAGTCTATAGTCTACAGTAGCCCACATTGGTAGACTCATTACTCAGTCTCTTGCGTGGCTGTGTGGCTTCTGAGGCTTGTGTGGCCATGGAAGTCTTTGTCAAGGCAGGGAGCCCAGATACCTGGGGTCTTATTCACTGTAGTCTTGCTACCTCCATGGCTACTGGGCGGGCATGACCATAGTTACTCCTATCCTTTCCTGTTCCTGGTGAATCTCATTCTCTCCCACAAGCTCTTGTACTTCTGTCCCCACCCCATCCCATACAAAATTCACTTACCACTTTTCCTTACTTCTCGAGAACACCTAATATAACTGTGCCTCAAAAATCCAGCAAGAGGTTTTCAGGCAATTTTTCCTTTAGCTTCTACTGTATAACCTCTCTTCCTACCTAAGAAAAAGGAACCTTCCTGAGGGAGGAGAACTATAGAGGGAACAAGTTGAGAGCACAATTAACTATCTTGTCACCTACATATAAAAAAATCAGCTTAATGTAATAAAAGAAATAAACAATTTTAAAAATGAGACATTATTGCTATTGATGACAAAAGCCAGATATTCCTAATTATCTCTCATCAGTCTCTACAATCCCCTCTCTCATACTCTTATCCCTTCCTCTGTGTCCTGTTGCAGATTCCAAACAATAGTCCCATTTGAGATCATTATCCCTCCTTTCTCCCTGATAGCCCCCATCTTTGAATGTATCGCTATCAGGCCATACTACTTTATTTCCCCTTCTTGTTGCAGTCCTGTATTGAGCCCACACCATTCCTCCTTACCTAGTCCATTTGTGCTACTTTAACAAAATACCCACGACTGAGTAATTTATTAAGAAAAGAAATGTAGTTCTTATAGTTCTGGAGGCTGAGAAGTCCAAGGATCAGGCACCAGTGGATTTGGTGTCTGGGTGAGGGTTGCTTTCTGCTCCTAAGAGGCACCTTGTTGCTGTGTCACTGTGTCCTAATGTGGCAGAAGAGATGGAAGGACAAAAAAGTATGGAAGGGGCAAACTCACCTCCTCAATCATTTTTTTTTTTTTTTTTTGAGACAGAGTCTCGCTTTGTTGCCCAGGCTAGAGTGAGTGCCATGGCGTCAGCCTAGCTCACAGCAACCTCAAACTCCTGGGCTCAAACAATCCTCCTGCCTCAGCCTCCCAAGTAGCTGGGACTACAGGCATTTGCCACTATGCCCGGCTAATTTTTTGTATATATATTAGTTGGCCAATTAATTTCTTTCTATTTATAGTAAAGACGGGGTCTCGCTCTTGCTCAGGCTGGTTTCGAACTCCTGACCTCGAGCAATCCGCCCGCCTCAGCCTCCCAGAGAGCTAGGATTACAGGCGTGAGCCACTGCGCCCGGCCTCCTCAATCATTTTTATGTGGCACTAATCCCATCCATGATGACAGAGCCCTCATGGCCTAGTCATCTCCTAAAGGCCCCACTTCTTAATACCATTGCACTGGGGATTACATTTCATCAATTTTGGAGCAAATATTTGAACCATAGTATTCTTCATTCTTTAAAAGGTTTATCACTGGCTATCTGCCATTTCCTCCAACACTACTCCTATTAAAATTCTTTTTTTTATTTTTTTAATTTCAGCATATTATGGCAGTACAAATATTTAGGGTATGTATATTACCTTTGCCCTAGCGAGTCAGAACTTCAGGCATGTCCATCCCCCAGACAGTGCACACCGCACCAATTAAGTGTGAATATCCCCATCCCCTCCTCCCCGCTCCCACCTGCATGACACCCAATGAATGTTACTACTACATGTACACTTAAATGTTAGTCAGTTAAGTCAGTTACTACCAATTTGCTGGTGAGTACATGTGGTGCTTGTTGTTCCATTCTTATAATACTTCACTTAGGAGAATGGGCTCCAGCTCTATCCAGGATAATACAGAGGTGCTAGATCACCATTGTTTTTTGTGGCTGAGTAGAACTCCATGGTATACATATACCACATTTTATTAATCCACTCATGTATTGATGGGCACTTGGGTTGTTTCCACTTCTTTGTGATTGTGAATTGTGCTTCTATAAACATTCGAGTGCAGATATCTTTTATATAGAATGTATTTTGTTCTTGTGGGTAGATGCCCGGGAAGGGGATTGCTGGATCAAATGGTAGTTCTACTTGTAGGTCTTTGAGGTATCTCAAGCTCAGGCAGGGGATGGGTGAGTTCTTCTCCATGGAGGCAGGCCTCATGAAAGGTTGCTCTGCCTGGGTCTCTCTGTGGCAGTGGCAGTGGCAGTGGCAGTGGCAGTGGCAGTGGCAGCTAGACGAGGCTATCTAAGTGGTAGCTGTGAGTATAAAGACTTAAG